AAATGTGATTTGCCATAAATAAAAATTTTATCCACACATTAACACACCGTGGGAACATATCCTGTATTTATGTTGTTTTTTCAAACTTCTATTCTGTAATTTTTAATTATTTATATACGTATGTCCTAAAAAGTGTCGTGAAACTGCTTACAAAAATTCAAGCACTATTCAACACCTCTTCCATCCCAGAAATAAAAACGTGCTCTAGGAACATGCTCCAAATGATCGTTTCTGCCACTAGTTCAGCTTCAAGTTTAACAAATGTTTTAAAGTTTATGTTCAAAGCACTAGATTCTGTGCAGAGAAAAAGATGAAAGCGGCCACACAGGACCCCTGTGGAGAGGAGAGATCAGTATGAAGACATGACTCCACCTTTCAGACATTGGATTATCCTAATAATGAGAATCAATGGCTCTGGATCCTCCCCACTGGAGAGCATTTCAAGGTCCCGATATTCTTTCCTTCTTCATCTGTGTTATACCAATTAGGCCGTTACCTGGTGGTGGGCATGGAGAGAAGCAGCAGAGCTACACTGTATGGTATTTCAAGGGGGGACTAAAAAGCCGTGGAGACGTGAGCAGAAGTGAGGCTCCCTTCTCCTTCATATGAGAAGTTCTCAGACCACACCTCCATTAGGGCGCCCATATCTGTACTTGCTGAAATGTGATCAAAGCTGGTTATCTGAGCCCCACCAGCCCCTGGGTTATCCTGTTGTAAGCTGCACACTGGCCATAAGCATGGCATCTTCGTGGGCAAGTTTATGAGCAGGAAGGAGAGAGAGAAGCCACCTTCTCTGGGCTCATTAACAGACCCGTCAGCAAGCACCCAGGTGAACTGAAGTGAAAGCAGCCGATGTTCACACCAGTCACTTCTGCTACTTGTTAGCAGCTCTGGTAAAAGAGGAAATACAGAAAGGAAAAAAACAAACCCTCTGGGGAGGAAACGGTGAAGTCAGGTCTCATTCTCCTGGCTGGATGTCTCCAACCCTTGCTTTCCTTACCACTCGTCACCATGGAAAACCCTGAGCTCTTGGGGGAGGGGTCACTCTCTTCTCCTTTGCTGGACACTCCTCTCCCCTTCCTCCCTGTCCTGACTGGGTGTTCCTGGACCACAAAATCCACAGCAACGGGGAGTGCAGTGGACAATGTGAGAGCATACGCACAGACCCTGCATCCATGCTCTCCGGCTAATGCAAATCAAATAACTTTTAGGAAAAGAGGTCTGGGATCAAAAAGAGAATTTGGGGTTGGAACAAGATAAAAGCTAATCCTCAAGCTCAAGTGCAAACATAGACCCATTTTCTACCTCTGTTTCCACCACGAAGAAGCAGGGAATATGGCAATTACTATAAGGACTCTTCTGATTTTCTTAAAGGAAATTTAAAAGCAAGATCATCAGAGCCCCAGATGCTTGAATACTTTCTAGAACATTCTAATGGTCTACTTTTCTTAACATTATTTTTTTTTTTTTTGGCCGCACTGTGCAGCATGCAGGATCTTAGTTCCCTGACCAGGGATCGAACCCATGCCCCCTGCATTGGGAGCATGGAGTCTTAACCAATGGACCGCCAGGGAAGTCCTAGTGGTCTACTTTTAGAATCATTGGATTAAGTATTAATTTAGTATGGTCAGATGACTCTAATATACTGCACAAATCCAAATAAAGTTCATTTTATACTATAAATAGTATTTTTGTTGGATTTGAAATACATATACACAGAAAAAAATACGAAATCTAGATTTCCCAGGTCAATGTCTTTAGCGTATGTCACCTTAAGAGAATGCCTTCTGCCTTTAGAGTAATGATTCACATTAATACAAAAAATAATAAGCCTTGTAGAGGTCACCACAATCTTGGTAGATCCTTCATCCTTGGTTAATGTTTCTACATAGCATAAAAGCATATGCAACAGATGGGAATTGGTCACCAATACATACTGGGGGTTAAAAAGGCACAGTTTTCCTTCTACAGAGTATTAATAAATTCAGTCTTCAACTATTCTTCCCAACCTTTAATATGTTTCTATAGAAGATTAGTAAACCTCTCTCCTCACCTTCCTCCCACCCCCTCCTTTTTTCCTTCTCTCCCTTTAATATACAGACAAGGTTAAAGTTCCCTCCCTCCTCATGGCAGTAAAATGGCTATAAATTTACTCTTTCTGATTAAAACAAAAAAATATCAAAATGAGCATGTGCAAATGCAAGATGATTTTCATGTGAGAATATTTTCATAGGGAACCAAAGAGGGTCAGGAGACTCCCTGAGAAATACATTTCCGTTCTATTTGTTTTACTCTTATCAAGTAGAATTGCTTGTGCAAGTTTCCCAAATGTTTAAGTTTTACCTGCATTATGAAATCTGCTAATGATCTTGACAGAACTAAGGTGTTGATCTTCAAGAATGACAGTATACTATTGGCTCCATAACATTTGAAAATGTATATAGTGAAAGGAATAAGCAGCAGAGCATTTAACTGATGATGATTTAGCCAACTGCATTTCTCTCTAATACCTTAGACAAAAAACAATCCTCACCTTGTTCAGTCAACAAAGTCCAAAAAAGAACAATAAAAATTCCCCATAAGGGGCATCCCTGGTGGCGCAGTGGTTAAGAATCCTCCTGCCAACGCAGGGGACACAGTTTCGAGCCCTGGTCCGGGAAGATCCCACATGCCGCGGAGCAACTAAGCCCGTGCGCCACAGCTACTGAGCCTGCGCTCTAGAGCCCGCGAGCCACAACTACTGAAGGTCGGGCACCACAACTAATGAAGCCCACACACCTAGAGCCCGTGCTCCACAACAAGAGTAGCCACAGCAATGGGAAGCCCACGCACCACAACGAAAAGTAGCCCCCGCTCGCCACAACTAGAGAAAGCTCACGCACAGCAACCAAGACCCAACACAGCCAAAAATAAATAAATAAAATAAATAAATTTATATTTTAAAAAAATTCCCCATAATTGGAAAATGCAAAGTACTACCCTATCATGAATGCATTCCTGAACTTGAGGCTTCCCAAGGTTAGCCTTCTGGGGTGCTAAAATATCATAATGCCGTAAAAGTGACTGAGAAAAAAAATCTAACAGCAAAGAACTAATTCGCTCCACAGGGGCACACCGGACAGGAAGACTAGGTTTCAAAGGATAGAGGGTAAATCCTCAAGGAGGGAAATCTGTAAACGTGAGTCACTTCTTCTACCCAAAGCCGATCCCTTCAAGCAGACACTGGGGACAGGCCTGCAAAGTAACAAGGGCCCTGATGGACAAGTTTCTCTGTGGGAAGTTGCTGCCATCCAAGTCAATGATCTGCACGAGTGCTATCCTAGTGTATGAGAAAGCGCAAGAGAACTCACCAAACGAGAACGTCAGGAGATGTGGAGAATCTGTTCTCCTGGAGGAGACTGGGGGGCAACTTAGTCTATGAGCCGATGTCCAACATTTCTCTAGGAATTCTCTTTTCTACCGTCATAAATCCAAAGCTCTCTATAATACTCAGTGATCTGGACATGATCTAGTTTTCCCTCTATCACCGGTTTCTTCTCCAACTCCCCTCTCTCTTTTCTCATTTTCAGATAGAACGAGATCACTGTTATTCATAATAAATTGAGTTCCTATCTGTCCGACCCTTAGTCTTAGGATGAAATTGGAGACATTCAGCAATGTGTCTTGGTGGAGACTAGTCTACTGGGCTCTACCTGCTGGATTTTATATCCCCTGTTGGTAAGGAAAAGAAACAGCATGTTACAAAACAGCCAGAACGCTGATACACAAATGGAAACAAGAAACCTCCAGGATCAGGGATCTGCAAACAGAAGCAAAGGCAGTGACATAACACCTACGTTGGGGGCTTCCCTGGTGGCGCAGTGGTTGAGAGTCCGCCTGCCGATGCAGGGGACACGGGTTCGTGCCCCGGCCCGGGAAGATCCCACATGCCGCGGAGCGGCTGGGCCCGTGAGCCATGGCCGCTGAGCCTGCGCGTCCGGAGCCTGTGCTCCGTAACGGGAGAGGCCACAACAGTGAGAGGCCCGCATACCGCAAAAAAAAAAAAAAAAAAAAAAATTGTGAAAACCTACGTTGATCTTCCATTGCTGGCTGTCATCCCTGAGGCCACAATTTCCTCTGTGGACACTTGTGGCTCCAATGACAACAGGAAAATAAACCCATGTCCTTACATTTTCCCTGTGTCCAAACCTTATTTTCCAGAGTTTGCTGGCCCAGCCTACCTCTAGAATGAGCTCCAGATTTGAAGCTTCTAATCTAAGAGACCCCGGCGTTTCTCTTCCCTCTCCCTGACCCTCACGCATGGTCTCTAAAGATGATATGCCAGCCATTCAGCAAGCCTTAGAAATATAAACAAATAATTTTAAAAAGTTTGTTTCTTTATTCATATGTCTGTTAAACACGTAGCACCCTATTAAAGGAACAAATACCACAAACTGTGTTCTTCAACCTTTTTTTTCATTATTGCCTCCCCTGAGGAAACTTTTTAGACATTCTTTTCCTAATTATACCCCCATGAAATGTTAATACCACAGATATACCATGTCTACTTATGTGAAGTATTCCCATAAAAAGAGTACGATATTTTTCATCCACCAATAACCAATTTTCTCCCTCTTGGGAGATATACTCTCTATTGAAAATGTGTGATCTTAAAGCATGCAGCAATTGAAATAATTTTGTCAGAAGTATTTAATTACTGCTAATACTCAGTGGAAGGTAAATCACTAAAAAGATCGCCTTTCCTTTATTCAGTAATCTGTATTGAAGAGCTCCAGAGGAGCAAAGTCTTCATCTCCTGAGATTCTAAGACACAAATCTTCTCCCGCAGTGCCTACTACCTCTTTGCCTCGCACAGAAAAAGTCTACAGAATTAACCATTGTTCCCTCAAGTTAATGCCAAGCCCAATGAAGAAGATCTTTCTTCAACCTCAAGGTATTTTATTTACGCACTAAAACACAAAGCCAACCCATTTCCCACTCCAGAAATGAGATAAATATACTTGCCTCTTGCCGTTTGAAGTTCTGCACATATTCTTCAAACTGTTCATCTTTCGTCTCATCAGCTTTCCCAAGCTTCTGAAGGACCTAGTTTGTGGATAAAACAAAATGGTTCAATTTAATAATGTTTTCAGGGTGGGATAGGGACGGTGGGAGGGAGACATAAGAGGGAGGAGATATGGGGATATATGTATAGGTATAGCTGATTCACTTTGTTATAAAGCAGAAACTAACACACCAATGTAAAGCAATTATACTCCAATAAAGATGTTAAAAAAATAATAATGTTTTCAAACAAAAAGCAGAGCAAGGCTGTTGTTTCGCTCTTCTGAGGAGACGTCTCTCTTAGCACAGCTAGTTTTCTGTTCTGTAAGCATCTTGGCCTAGTGGCTTTGGAGTTGAACAGACCTGGATTTTAATCACAGTCCTACCACGCGCAGGCTGCATGACCTTGAGGAGGTGTCACGCTATAGCATGCATTTATTCACATATTTTTCCTCCAGTAGGCTGTAAGACTTAAAGACAAAAGCTATGCCTTGTCCTTTTGTCCAAAGCATCTGGCACAATGCTTGATGCATAACAGTTGCTCAATTTTTTGTTAAACGGTGAATCAAAGTTATTTGAGGAAAGTACTAGCCTACTTCATAGGGATGGATTTAGAATTACTGGAGCCACAGGCACATGGTAAATTCTCCCCCACCATCTCCTGACACTCTCTTCAATTCAATAAATGTTCAAAGAGGCCCTGGGATACACAAAGCCCATGCTAAGAACTGGTCATCCAGAAATAGATATATGAATAAAATAAGGCCCCAGAACTTAATCTTAAGCTTATGATCTAATGGGGTAGACAAGGCGAGTTCACAAATAACAAATCAAAGACAATCTGTAATAACCAAGATGAGTGGATTGCAAGGCGTTAGAAGCAATATCCCCTTAGAGCTGAGCTCTTCAGGGAATCCTGGTGGGGATTCTTCAAAACATGCTGGAATCCAGCAATCCCACTCCTGGGCATATATTCAGAGAAAATTATAATTTGAAAGGATACATGCACCCCAATGTTCATAGCAGCACTATTTCCAATAGCCAAGACGTGGAAGCAACCTAAATGTCCATCGACAGATGGATGGATAAAAAGATGTAGTACAACATACCAGCAGCTCACTTAACCTCTCTGAGTATATTTCTTCATCAGTAAAATGAAGATAATAATAGTAAAAAAGAAAAAAAAAGATGTGGTACATACATACAGTGGAATACTACTCAGCCATAAAAAAGAATGAAATAATGCCATTTGCAGCAACATGGATGAACCTAGAGACTATCATACTAAGTGAAGTCAGTCAGAGAGAAAAAGACAAACATCATATGATATCACTTATGTGGGGAATCTAAAATACGACACAAGTACGAAGTTATTTACGAAACAGACTCAGACATAGAAAACAAACTTATGGTTACTAAAGGGGAAAGGGGGTGGGGGAGGGATAAATTAGGAGTTTGGAATTAGCAGATACAAACTACTATATAAAAGTGATAAATAACAAGGTCCTACTGTATAGCACGGGAACTATATTCAATACCCTGTAATAAATCACAATGGAAAAGAATATGTATATATATACACACACACACACACACACATATATACACACACACGTATATAACTGAAGCACCTTCCTGTACACCAGAAACTAACACAATGTTGTAAATCAACCATACTTCGAATTTAAAACTATGCTGGCAATTCCTGCAGACAGGAACGTGGCAGAGTACCTTCCAGTTAAGGAAGCAGCCTAAGCAAAGACCACTGGAAGAATCATGATGGACTGTGAACTGGACATGAGTGGCTCTGTTTTCCTAGAGCACAGGACTGGGTATCAGAAGAAGTAGTTCTTAGCGATACAGCAGAAAGTTACTTGGGACGGAGCAAAAGGACCCTGAGAGTCATGATCGGGTACACTATTCAAGATTCCCATTTCTAGTATCTAAAACACCAACTTATTTAAGAATTTATAAAAACTCCATAAATGTTGCCTTCTCAGAATACGTACACCCTATGGCATTACCAAATATGTTTTTCCAAAACATAACCATTTGGGCATTAAAACATACACTCATACAAAGCACTTTCTATGGCTAGGTTGTACATCAGCTTATGCTAATTTGTTTCCTTAAAGATATAATCTTGTACAAATTGATGACTTCCTTAGACTCAGTTTAGAATGTTTTAACTAAACCCAAGTATCAAAGTATTTACCCAACAAGTCAGAGTCCATGCAGATTCCTTCAAGAAATAAATTTTCTTTGGAGGTAAATAGTAATTATTCTAAGTATATAAGTAAAAAATGATTATTTTATTCTATTCTAAAACTAACTGTTTATAATATATGCTAGTATTCCTTCCTTTGGCATTACTAAACAAAGGTTTTTTAAAACAATAAAACTGTATACAGACTCACATATATTACCAATTACTCAACTTCATTCAATTTCATGTCCCAAACCAACATCATATATGAATAATAGGAAAGATATATTATTTCTCATTGCAAAATTATTATTTAAACAAAGCTGGATGTATCCAGTAACATAACTATTCAAAGGACAAATAATCACTCTATTAACTAATAATCTTTTCTCACTTAAGAGTCTCTGTGAAAGACAGAAGAGAAAACACTAATTTTTGAAAGAACTGGGCATTGTAACTAGGGAATAAGTTGATAAGCGTAAGAAACATGATCAAATATATATATGATCTATTTTAAAGTTAACAGAGGTTATTCCTGGATGGTAAGATTCAGAGCGATTATTATTTTTTTCTTTATAATTTGCTACATTTTCCATAATTTCCTCTATGGTTATATGTCACTAAAGTAATCAGGAAAAATCATAAAGATAAGTAACAGGAGTTTATCATACTCATATCTGGTATATAAGAGATTTATGTATTAGATTCTAGTACAAGCAAGTAGATTGTTAGTAACTAGTTGAAAGACTCTCCTCAAAAGATATAGATGAGTGAATTAATATCAACCGGAAGAAAGGTTTCCAGAGGCAGCCTTTGGGGACCTATACCTGATTCAGTGATTCATGTGTAAGGAAAGGGTATCAATGGTACAGTATTGTGTGAAACTACCAAGGATACACATGGAAAGGCTGCGCTTTGATGCCTAGCATATAATTAATGCTCAATAAATATCTACTATTATTATAGATATTATTATCTAACACTATCGAATAATTTATCAATGGCCTAAACTTATACTGACAAAAAGTTGGGGAGGATATTGGATATGTTATAGGATGAGAATGAGGATTCACAAAAGAAAGCTTCCCTAACAAGTTGAAGTTCAACAGGGATAAAATGTAGGTCAAAATATAATTGTCCAAGTGCCAGATTTATGTATTCAACTTTCAACCACAATGAGACAGGATGGATGTTAAGAATACATGGTTCCTGGGGCTTCCCTGGTGGCGCAGTGGTTGAGAGTCCGCCTGCCGATGCAGGGGACACGGGTTCGTGCCCCGGTCCGGGAAGATCCCACATGCCGCGGAGCGGCTGGGCCCGTGAGCCATGGCCGCTGAGCCTGCGCGTCCGGAGCCTGTGCTCCGCAACGGGAGAAGCCACAGCAGTGAGAGGCCCGCGTACTGCAAAAAAAAAAAGAATACACGGTTCCTGCCCTTAAGTAGAAATAAGGAACCATTTTCGCCGACAGTCAGTATGAGCTGACCAAGTGATATTGCTGCCAAAGCATCTAATGTAATCTCAGGCTACACGAACAAGCATGAAAGGTACCCGGGGAGCAGTCCTGAATGATTCTATGTGGTGAACAAGTTGATAACCACATACCACATAGATAACCACATAGATACGTAGACATAGATACTGGAGTCAGCTGAAGCGGAGAGAGTTGATACCATGAGGTAAGAGGCACAAATGATATAATCGGTATAGTAACGGGGAGAAGAGGAAACCAAAGGGAAAAGAGTACATCTGTCTTCAAATACGTGAAGGACCAACATCAGGAAGAAGGACTGGACTTTTCCCATCAGAAACCAAGATCAAGAACCAGCACGGGCAGGTAAAAGCTTTATCAAGAAAATATTTGTGCCAGAAGTTTCTATCATGGTTTTCTGGAAATTAAATAGTTTGTTGGTAGAGGTAATGAGCTCACTGTCCTAGGAGTTATTTAAGTTTAACCCAAAGTTAGAGGTGCTAGAGAAGAGATTTATTCATCACACTGGTGAGTGGAATGAGTCATATTTCAAATATCTTCTCATTCTTGAATCCATAATCAATGTATCATGTTAGACATTTTCCCTAGACAAGAATGCAAATCTCATTGAATAGAAGGCAGAGAAGAACGTCTGTTCGTTTCTATCTCCAGCTGATATTGACTTGCTGAAGACTGCTTGCCAAACCCTGTGCTAGGGGCCGCAGTAGAGCAAACTGCGTTCCAGGGACTGTGGTCACGTGACAGGTCTGAGCACGGGTGCAAGCTGTGGAACTAGGGTAGATGCAGCTAGCGTGCTAGGCAGAGGGCAGATTACGGAAAGGCTTCGTCTGCAAGACTAAAGACTTCAATCTGCTTGTAGAGACCACGGGAAGGCAATGAAGAGTTTCCCTTCCCTGGAGACAGCTACGTGATTAAATCTGTGCTCCCTGGTGACAGTGTTAAGGACAGGTTAGAAGAGAGAATGAGTGGAAAAGGGAGACCAGTTAAGAGATTATTTAAATAGTCCAGGCAATAAATGACAGCCGCAGCTAAGGAACAGATAAAACCAACCCTCAGGAAGTAAACATACAGAATTTCACAGCTTATGAGACAAAAGTGGTGAGGACAGAATGAGTCAAGGGTGACATCATTTCTTCTGTGGTGGCTGAATGGGTCATCTGGTGACAATCAGGGTGCTGAGTTGTTGCAAAGTCTCCAGGGAGATGGGAATGGTTTAGATGTGGAATTGGAAAAGGTTAAGAACCAGAAACACAAAGCAGGAATCGTGGGTGGAACCAAAGGCCCAGCTGAGGCAGAAACCACCAAAGTGCAGGTACCCACAGTTAAGCAGTTTTGTGACTTTTCTCC